TCATCATGTTCCATTTAAATATTACCTAGTGTTGCGCCATATGATTAAATGGTTGGATTGTATGGAATGTGGAGGACAGCGCCATCTAGTATCGACTCAAGTAAATCTATTAAGATTGTGGCTACGAGTAGTTCTGATCCTTACAGCGCTAGATGGCGCTTCAAGTAAGGCGTGACTGATTCTGGAATATTCGTGTTTGTCTGGACGGACTGTCGAATACTAGGAACTTTCTAGTATATAAAAGCGGAGCGTGTTGGCCGTTCCACACAGTTTCGTTTTAGTACACAGCGAATTAACATCATGGTCCGTGTGGTAACGGATTAAGAATCACCACCCCTGTTCTTTCCGTGGGTGTAGTAAGAGCCGACTAAGGGAACAAGCTACGTAGGACAACAGCACCGCAAAGAGAAGGAAAACCTGACACAAACCACTTTTTTTTTTTTTTTTAAGGAGAGGCCTATGTCCAGCAGTGGACTATTAAAGGCTGATGATGTGATGTGAGGTGATGTGATGTGATGTGAATTAACATCGGAGTGAATTACTAGTGCGACTAACAAGATATATATAATGATTTCTAGTTTATTATAGTGAGTGTTTGTAAATACAGTGAAATAAAGTAATTAACCGACATCTTTTATTTATAATATACCCCGCTCGTAACAATACTAATGATTTACTACTATTTGCACAATTAATTGTTATACTACTTTAATTAGTTTTCTTCATTTACAAAGGCCATTTGTGGCCACGGTTGTAATTAATTATTTTTGTAATGTGCATGTTGTGGCTTCCTATAATTAAGGAAGCACAAGGTGTATTTCTTGTTGGAGATCCAAATAAAATTAAATCATACTTATAATACACAGCTACACTAACATTATAAAGCTGATGAGTTTATTTGTTTGGTTTACCATGCTAATCTCGGGAACTACTGGTTCGAATTAAAAATTATTTAAGTGTTAGATAGCCCATTTATCGAGGAAGGCTATATGCGTTAAACCATCACGCTACGACCAATAGGAGTCGAGTGTCAATGAAAAATGTTGCAAAAACGGAAAAAAAAATATTCCTTTTGAGAGGCGCAAACGAAGTTGCACTTTACATCATCATCATCATCACCAGCCTATCGCAGTCCTCTACTGGGCATAGGCCTCTCCCATTGCACGCCACTTAGATAGATTTTTCTCTGGTCCACAAGCTTGAAGTCGCTCAGCGTGCTATGGAAAGAGCTATGATCGCTGTTTCTCTAAGGAATGAGGTGATCACTCAGAGAACGAAGGTCATCGACATAGCCCACCGGATTAGCAAGCTGAAGCGACAGCGGGCTGGCCATTATAACCGCAGAACCGACAACCGTTAGGGTAAACGAGTTCTTGAGTGGAGACTGCGCTGGTCAGCTTGTAGGAAATATTCCATGGCGTGATTATTATTATTTTTTTGCTAAGGGGTTACAGGCTCTCACCGTCGCCCATTGTCAGGAATCTAGGGTACACCGGCGAAAACGTAAATAAGTATTTCTACTCTTTATTATTTTATTCTTCTTTCCTATTTGTTCAATAGATTATCATATCATGCAATCTATACCTAAGTATTTATTACGATGGTACAGTCTGTGTCAAATTTATACCTTAATAAGGTAAAAAAAAACAGCAGTAAGTTTTTTTTGTTTGTAACGCTGTCACGCCTAAACTACTATACCGATTATAAACATTATTCTACCAATGGAAAGCTGCATTATCAGCGAGTAACATAGGCTACTTTATACCGCGAATCCGACAAACGCGCGGGCGTGGCCGCGAGTAAAATGTAGTCAAAAAACAAAAAAAAAAAGCCAACTGCTAACTATGTACATGCTACACTTTATACAGTTTCGCCCATTAGCCCTTTGAAATAAATATTTCTTATAAAGTGCTTACGATTCACGGGAGTGGCGCAAGTGGCAAAACCAGTTTGTTCAGTTTCTGGGATGACTTTAATAGCACTCGATCTGTTCCAACGAATTGAACCGGGTTGGAAAAGTTTGAATATTAATAAGTTAGCGAATATATCCTCTTTACTAATTTTTTTTGCATTAACTTTACACTTCTCCACACGCCCATCTGATCCCAAACCCCAAACTAGGCAGAGGCTGTACTATGTTAACCAGAAAGCTGATAAACTTTTTAAATATCTCTAAATACATACAAACGAGTATTATAAATAAATACCACCCAGATACAGAACAAAAAATCATGCTCATTACATAATTATTCCTCCTGTTTTGGGATCGAACCAACGACCCACTTTAGGCCAACAGTAAAATGCAGTATGCAGAAAGAAAGTTTATATCTTATGATGATTGCACACAAATTCACACTCACAATTTATTTCTGTCTTCTCAGTTTGGGAATCTATTTCGCCCATTGCATTGTAGACTATAAATTAGTTTTGGAATAAAGTTCCTTATCGCTTATATATTATTATTATTTCATACATGTATACCTAATGTATTACTAACTTCTACCAAAAAGCGAAAGGAACTTTGTCCCGATCGGGGGTCCATAGACCCTTACGCTGTTTTTTTGTGCCATAAGGCATGACTATAACTTATGAAAGACTTTATCAATAAATTGTATGTATGTAGGTATGTATGGATATACATTTATATTTGTAATAATAGGCTCAATGAAGACGTTTAGTCGTTTGGTAGTTACGAGAAACTTAGTTTTGTACAAAACATCACAAAAACTGATGTCAAATATAAATTAAAACATTATTTGCAACCTTCGATCAACAATAGCAATATTGATCGAAGTTTGCACCTGACAAATCTGTAGACAGGTCGTACAAACTTGTTTCTTAAGTATTAACACAGGGGCACAAATGTGGTCGACGCAATAGCAAAAAAGATGTATCTTTCCTTGTTATGGTATAAATATTTTTATTGATATGTATGCTAAAGCGGTTTTGTTTTGTTAAAAACCGAAGTTGTTTTTTTTTAAGAATGTGATTTAAAATAATTTGCATGTTATTTTTTTTGTACGTGTGGAAAACCTCGGGTAGTCACCCCAACGTGATTTTCAATGGGGTGACGGCCCAGTGGAGACGTGTGTCGGAATCGATCCGACTAAAACTACACGGTGTGCGACTCTGCGTTTGAAATAAGAGGAATCCGGGCACAGGACTAATTTGCATGTAGCCTAACCTACCAAAATTTAGTAACATAACCATAGTTGGGTAAAAACTGGTTAGCTTAAAAATTATAACGCAAGGCGTATTGATAAGGTCAGTGTAATAACGTCGATGCTGAGGCACAGTGGTTCCGGGAGGCCATGACCCGCGTCTGCGATGCGGCGATGCCTAGGGCTCAGCGCAATACTGCGAGGCGCCGGGTCTAACATATAGTTAAATAAACTAAATATATCATGTTCGTTGACAACATAGACATGGCAATGCATAAATCCATGAAGCACATTTGACTGCATTTGATTGCACGGATGGCGTAGTGGTTTAAGTGGTCGCCACGCCGTTTCCTACTACGCCGAGCGTTGTGGGTTCAAACCTCACATGGGACGACACTTTGTGTGATCCACAAATTGTTGTTCTGAGTCTGGGTGTTCTTTGTCTCCGTTTTATGTATGATTGTAAAGTCCCCCGTGACATAGGAATATATATTCCTAATGCGGGCGTTGTCTTTATATAGAAAAAAAAAAACATTAAGCTATACAAATAAATAAAATTGGAGTGTCTGTTTGTAATATTAAAAAAACCGCTTTTTACTAAATGCATATGTATGTTTACACGGTACATATGCCAAAATAACATTTTTTACAACTTTTGTCTGTCTGTCTGTCTGTCTGTCTATTCCGGGTAATCTCTGGAACGGCTGGACCGATTTCGACGGGACTTTCACTGGCAGATAGCTAATGACATAAGGAGTAACTTAGGCTACTTTTTTTAGACTAGCTTCGCCCCGCGGCGTTGCCCGCGTTTATAACAACAAACGCGGGTAACACCGCGAGTCTCAGCTAGTAGGTATTAAATGAGTATTTCAGTTACTCCTATGTTTGTTTTTAGTTGCCAACTCTGTGTTACATTTTCACGTTTACTTTTTTAAGATGTAAGGAAACTCTATTAGTGACTTATAGGTAGTACTAGCAAATAAGACATGTTCGTACTAGCATTAGGATTTGGTCAAGAATTAGTCAATGGTTTTAGTAGTACAGACACACTTACCTATGGATATGGCAAACAAGCTGTTGACAATTAATATTATTTTAACGGGAATTAACGCGATCTCCTATTTAGGGTATTACATACCTCTGGTTTGCCTGACGTTTCGACCAGGTTGCACCGGCCGTGGTCACAGGCTGAATTCCCGTTAAAATCATATTAATTATCATGGAACGCGAAAGTTTAAAAGCTGTTGACGTATATAATAACAATTTTACAAATGTCTGTTTCTTAAATCGCAAATTAATCACCGATAAATATCCTTCACGCAAAACCAGAAACTAAAACAGATATTTTTAGCGAGAATATTATTATCAGGAATCATTAAAAAAGTTGACCCACATTAAACTGATGTTGCAATTCTTCAAAATGATAATCTGAATATTAAGTTTTAGTCAAACTCAAACTCTCCTTATTTCATAAAAAAATTAAAATTATTTGAAATCGTCTTTTACGTAGACTCTAAAGTCATAGATCAACACACACAAAAGCAACAATCTCTGTTTTATCAAATATTACTATTTGACAAATAAATTTAATAAATTTAATAATAAATTTAAACTTATACAAAATTTATGATATGCCTGTGCCGATCTACAACCGCCCGTTTCCAAGTTGTTGAGCCTTATGAGAAGAAAGGGCAAAAAACTCATGGCCCCTCTTTTGCAACTCACAAATAGATAAAATGGCATTATTAAATATACCACAACATTGTTTTGATGTGTGCCATTATGAGCCTCAAAAGAATAAGTCAAAAGTATTAAAAAAATAAACAATATAAACTATACCTTAGCTCCATACTTAAACCGGCCAGTTCAGGGACCCTGCACCAATAATTTTGCGGTGCCACAGTTATGAACATTTGCACAAAATAAGTGAAGGCGTAGATAAAGCCGAATGGAATCATTGCCACGTACAAAACCTTCTGATACCGCCCCATATCTCCTACGTGGGAAAGCACTGAATCCAACATATCACCATCATAACCAGGTTTGGCCTGGACTGGCTTTTCAACTCCACTCTAATAATAGAAACTTTAAACATTATTATTTTTTCAACAAAAAACACTACAGAAAATATTGAAGTAAAAAAAATGTGGTTCGTTAAAAAACAACTTACTTTAAATAAATCTAATTGTATGTTGTCGATGATCATTTTGTTAAAAAAATATTAAGAACACACACAAACACGTCTTTCTTTATTAATACATGAAATCTGAATGATGAATCCTATTTAGTAATCGTTAGGAACGAGAAGCGAGAAATCAGTTTTAGAGTTCCGTACCCCAACGGTCCAAATGGAGTTGAGTTTTTCTCTTGAGCTGACCAAGTCAGCTTTTTTTTTTAAATTGTCGCGCTTATTTTAACATCCCTGTGAACAATGAACTTGAAATGTGACTATGATATTTGTTTTAATGTACCTATAATCATCATCATCTACTCACAGTTCACTACTGGATGTTATTTTACCTATAATTGCTCGTGCTATCTCTAAGAACCGGTTGTGTACGTCACGCGCTAACAATACTTACGGCGAGCGAACCACCACCACCTTGTACCTCGATTTATTAATAACTTGCCATATGAATTAGTTAATGGTGTAACCGACAAAAATATTAAATGTAAATTAAAGCAATACTTCCTTATCCTAATGTAGCTATTGTTATTTGATTATTTTGTATTTATTTAATGTTTTTAAGCTCACAATACTCGTAACTAGTGTACCATATAGTGGACAAATTTTAGTGTATAACTACCCTCAATCACGTACATTGTATTAAAATGTAAACTCTCGACAGCTCAAACATAAACCTATGTTGTTTTCTCCAGAAGCTGTCGTTTTGTAAACTTTCTCTGTGTTTTATGTGATAAATAAAAAAAAAACTAAATTTTACCAAAAATTTCAATAATAATAAGTTCACACATCTCACATACGGCAGTCTGGTCCCTAACTAGGCAGAACCTGTATGATGGTAACCAATCTGCTGATAAACATACTAATGTATTTCTAAATACACACATATTATAGATAAATTGCACCTAGATACAGAACAAATGCTCGTGCTTATCACACAACATTTGTCCTGATTGGGAATCGAACCAACGACTCGGCTTAGCAGTCAGGGTCACTAACCGCTTGACCAAGAAGCCCGTCAATATATTGTTAAATCAGTTTTTTTTATTCTATATTTTTTTTATATTCTGCCATTCGTATGGTTTAAATTCTACATTGGGTACGGAATCCCAAATGTACGAAATTCAACATGCACTTGACCGGTTTTTCGAGTTACGTATCTTTGGTAATAACTGTAGTTTTTTTATAATGTAATAAAATAGTTTCGGACATCTGACACACAGCGACATCTAGTTTCAAACTAGAACTACGAGTATGAAACCTAGATTGATTGATAGAATACATATAAACTTTTTTTTGTAAATACATACATATTATTAAAAATTAAGAAATATATTTATTTCACAATTGATATGTATCATTCCAAAAATTCCAGAGCCCAAATTCCTTCTCTTCTTGATTTCGGTGGGGATTGAAGGGTGGAATGCACTTGTGGCTCTCAAGTGTCCATGGGAAGAGGTAGTCACTTTTAGTTACTGGCACGGATGTTGAGCGCTCGGCGGCAGAGTGGGGATCGCTTTCGTGCACTTATGGCCACATAACATGCACACCCATTTATTATTATTTATTTTTCTCAGAAAATTATAGATCAAAACCATAAGACGTTACGTAGTAAAGTTACTACGTAACTTCTTATTGAGTCTGTGGTAAGACAAAATGGTTAAAAATTTTTTTTTTCAAAAAAACCTATAGGTATTTATTTTTGTTTAACAAATATTTTTTTAAGGTGGAATAGGATTGACATCTTCCATCAAATCACTGTCTTACATAAAGCAGGTACTGGTACGGCGGCCATTAATTTTTTATCGTCACTTCATTTATTGTGTTACTGCTGAGCTGAGACCACTGTGTTACTAGTTGTTATAACCGCGAGAAACGCCTAAGTTACTCCTTATGTCATCAGATATCTGCCAGTGAAAGTCCCGTCGAAATCGGTCCAGCCGTTCCAGAGATTACCCGGAACAAACAGACAGACAGACAGACAAAAATTGTAAAAAATATTATTTTGGCATATGTACCCTGTAAACATACATATGCATTTAGTAAAAAGCGGTTATTTTCATATTACAAACAGACACTCCAATTTTATTTATTTGTATAGATAGGTACATATTAAAGAATACATTACGCTAATACTCATCTCAAATTTATATACCAGAAAATTTTATTAATTAAAAGCGAAAGTAGAAATGATGAAATTAATAATAAAAAAAAAGACCTGCTTAATTTGTTCGGAAGTGTACTCATCGTAGTTAAGTAAAAGAAAAAAAAAAGAAAAAGAAAAAAAAAGAAAAAGAAAAAAAAAGAAAAAGAAAAAAAGAAAGAAAAAGAAGCAGGAACAGCGACAATATCGGTGAGCCAATCACTGGCCGATGTTATGATTTAATAATACCCAAAAAACTTCTGCGCAGGTGAAGGTCAGCGCTCAAGATCGGCGCTGGTACCTGTACCCTCAGGTGAACTATCAGCTCGTTTGTCGTCAATTTGGAACTTACTCCTTTTTTCTTACGGAACCATTACTTACGAGTATACATATACCTCCGTTGTCAATCAGTCTGTGTCTAAGTGATCTGAATGTACATAATAAATGGAATGGAAATGAACCTATAAGAAGTATATACACATAAATTCATTCGTATTTTGCCAGCTATAATTTAGTCTCAGTTGAACTATATCCGTGGTGTGACGGTTAAGAATAATGTCATTCGAATAAAGGAGCAAACCAACCAGGACAACAGCACTGGAACGAGAAGGACAACTTGAAACATACCAAACCGTCTGGCCAGCGTGGCCAGCGTAAAGGCTGTTGATGATGAAGTAATAGGGGCTAAGTGCACTATATATCCAATAATTGGGCACTTTGAGAATTAAGAATTGAAAAATTGGAAATCCATTTAAACGGAAAAAGAAGTAAGATAAAACGAAAGGATATAATGTTATATTATTGTTAATGTAAATACCTGTAAGTCTAAGGGTTAGTGACCCTGACTGATAAGCCAGGATACGTGAGTTCGATTCCGACCCGGGACAAATAATTGTGTGATGAGCACGTTTAAATTGTTCTGTGTCTGGGTGTAATTTTTTTAAGATGTATATATTTGGAAATATTAAAGTGTGTTGATCAGCAGTCTGTTTAGGATAGCACAGGCTCTGTCTAGTTTAGGATCCGAAGGCCAACTCTCGTAAAAAAATCTTCCAACAATCAGTTTCGATCTACTTGCAGTCTTACAAGTGACATAAAAGGTATTCTCATAGTAAAGTACGAGTATTGTGACCGAAAGTTAAAAATCGGTATTCTGCCAGTCTTAGTAAATTTGTCCGGTGTCCTTACGGAACACCAGCAGTTACAAATTCCAAGTCGGAGCATGCACCGTCAGTAACGACCTTAATGCTTCTGTCCGCAAGGCAACTGGTGACCCAATTACACAATTTCTCGGGCAGCCCAAAGGAAGGGAGCTTCGTGAGAAGCGCCTTATGCCAAACCCGATCGAAGGCATTCGCTATGTCCAAACTAACCGCACAAGCCTCTTGTTTGGTCTCGATCGCCTGTGCTATTAGCAAGACAAGAAGATCACCAGCTGAGGCAAGAACCATATTGTCGATCATTGAGTAGCTGGTGATCATCTAAGTACCGGAGGAGCTGGCAGTTGATTTTGGAAACTCAAATTTGAACGATTTCTTATTATGCAAATTGACGTTTTGACTGCCGTGTACGACACGTGTGAAGTTATTATTTTATAATAATTATTATAGTTATAGCTACACAACATTCGGAGTAAACCCGTATCTAGTTAATGCCGGCAAATCCGTGATCTATAATAAAAAATAAAAACTGAACAAAAAAGTATATGATCGAAGTCGAAGTTTTTACGATTACGTTCTTATCTGTCTCATTTGATCTATTTAATTAGACATTTTAATTCGACTGCACAGATGACGTAGTGGTTTAAGCGGTCACCTTGCCGCTTCCTACTGTGTTGAGTGTTGTGGGATCCATCCCTATATGAAACAGCAATTTGTGTGATCCACAAATTGTTGGTCTGAGTCTGGGTGTTCTTTAGGTTCGTTTCATGTACGTTTGTGAAGTCCCCTGCGAAACAGGATATATTCCTAGTGCGGGCGTTGTCTAACAAAAAATATATTTTTCGCAATAAATATAAAAAAAGCACTCAACAATGGAGTTTCAAGAGGTAATATTATAACAAACAAATTAAAAATTCTAAGTCTAAATATACTTACGCGTTAACCTTGAATATCAGTTCATAATACATTGTTATCATCATAATTTTATACGTCATCATTCTATACGGATATAATTACTTGCGCCGACTGAGTCTAAACCGCTGGGGCTACGAACTTGAAATTTTGACATCTAATGCTTTTTATGTTGGAAGCATCCAAATAAGAAAGGATTTTTGAAATCTTAGAAAGAGGGTAAAATAAGGGATGAAATGTTGTGTGGCAGTTCGCTAATTTCAGAGTTAAATATACGACGTAAGAAATAGTCAAGCGAGCAAAACCACGGGTAATAGCTAGCGTGAATTATTCATATTAATTAAATGAGGAGAAAAATGTGTAGTGTCCCTCTAATATTAAGAGTGATTTTTTTAACTGGGCAATTTATATTGGAGAGTTGTGTAACGCTACCTTTCGTGTCAGAATGCGTACTGAGCACTCAATGCCTCACCCGATTCACCCAATGATTCACCCGAGCTGAAAAACATCTCTTCTCGCACAGCACACAGCACACCGCACACATCTCCGCTTTGGTGGAGTCCGGGCCTTATCGTCGAGATGACTTTCATTGCGTGATTTAGGATCATTAGCTTAGTAACTAATGGCTAATATGGTTGTCTTCGCCAGATGATGTTGAAACATCTTGTCTTTAAACTCTTACAGGAGGAGCGCGTTTAAAATAATAATAATAATAAATAATAATAATATTGTACCACATTCACACAACGCCATCTAGTCCCAAACTAAGCAGAGCTTGTACTATGGGTACTAGACAACTGATATAA